AAAAAAAAAGTGGCAAGTGATGATGAGGGTACATTAGAAATTAGAACCTTTCTGCAGTGTTGGTAGGAATATAAACGAGACAACCACTATGGAAAACAATAGGCAGTTCATCCAATTAAAAACAGAATTACCGTATGATCTAACAATTTTACTTCTGGATATACAGCCAAAGAATTAAAAAGCAAGGTCTCAGAATTGTATAGCCATGGTCTGCTATAAACAAGGAAACAACCTAAATATCCAGAGAGAGAGAATGTCAAAATTTCCCTCCTTGCTTATCTACAACTCTTGAGAATGAATCTTGAGGATATTATGCCAAGTGAAATAAGCCAGTCACAAAAAGATAGAGACTATGATTCCAACTGTATGACAGAGTAGAGTGGTGGCTGCCAAGAGGGGGGAAGCAGAGAATGGAGAGTTATCATTTAATGTGTATAGAATTTCAATCTTACAAGACAAAAAGAAACAGATTTCTGGGTGTGGATGGGAATGATGATTTTACAACATCAGGGGAAAGTGTTCAATACTACAGAACAAGTGTACTTAAAAATGGTCAAGATAGTGAATTTTATGATATGTGTATTTTACCGTAATAAAAATAATTAAGGGGGAAAGTTAAAGGCAAGATACCTGACTTGTACTTTATTATTATTACTAGTAAAGAAGAAAAAAATGAGATGGTCTCTCTGCCTGAATTAACCAAAAGGCTTACGGAGGCAAACGAAAGAATGGCTGACTTTCCTGAGAGCGTTAAGGTAAGCTCTATAGCAGTACTTCTGATAAGACACTACTTTTTGTGTTATCACTTGACTCTACAGATTTTTAAAGGTAATCTACTTCTCTCTTCAGTCTCTAAAATCTAAATATTTATGTACTTAAAAATTTAGGATCCAGTTGTTTCTGGTTAGCTAAAATGTTTTGTGGAAATGAAACTAGAATTATTGATCACACAAGATAGTCTGAAAACTGAGTCCAAAGAGAAATCAAACATTTTACAATTGGAAGGTAAGAAGTAAAATGTAAATGGTGCCACATATTTGATAGCTTACAAATATGTAAGAAAATTGGCTGTGGCTCTAGAAGAAGAGCAGCAGCATTTTTTGAGTTGATTTTAGTAGGCCACTAGAAAAATGATCACTTGACAAGGAAATCTAGTAGCCACCCTAGTTTTGCATGTCATTTATGAGAGAAATGGTTCAGTCCAGCCTGAGAAGAATGATTAGATGAATCTGGATTAGTAGTGTCGTCTGTGGCTCTTTTGCAAATGTGTCTTTATTCATCCTTACATCTTTCAGACCTGGCCCTTCCCAGATGTGCTGGAGTGCTGCCTCGTCCTGCTTCATATTGGGTCCCAGTACCCTGGCTGTGTGACCCAAGAAATGCAACAACAGGCCCAAGAACTCCTTCAGAAATACAGCAACACTAAAGCTTACAAAAGACACCGCCAGACCTTCTGCACGTGAACTTTCAGGGACCTTGCAGAAACTGTGCCACAGAATTATTGACATCTTTCAACTCTGCAGTTACACCTCGCCAGGCATTCACTCTGATCCGTAGATGTGTTTGCAGTAATCCAGACTAATACAGTGAGGGTGGTTAAGCTTGAATCAACTGTCTACCCTTAGACACAGTGGAGTCTGACTTGGAACTCAAAATCATGGGAAGCCAGCAATAGTTGCTCAGAACTAATACCTGCAGAGTGATTATGTCATCTCTAAAGCCTTATGCAGGTTTCACCCAAAGAGGAGAAACTTTTGTAACCACCCAAAGTGTTATGTTCTTGAACACAGCTACCTTTATAAATACTTCACCTGATCGTAAACAACTCATTTTTGTTGAAGGTGGAATTGCCACATTTTATGGCTATTGGTATAGTTTTGTTTTTAATTATTTTTATTAACCTAGGTTCTCCCACATATACTCTTTCCAAGACTCAAGTTTGAATGTGATATAGGCCTTTCTCATCATGTTGACTCTTGATCCTTCATCTGAACTTTAGGTTGAAAGTTTGATTTTATTGTTTTACAGAATTGCTTATTTGGACAAATCAGTTACTAAAGCTTTACAGCAACAAATAATTATCTCAAATGTGTGTTATCCCTTCAGTTTTGTGACAAATGATTGATGGTGATCAATTAGCTCAGGAAGAAATTATTTCAGTGATTCTTAATCTTTTGTGGTCACAGAACCCTTTTGAGAATTAAAACCACAAATACTCTTTGGAGAAAAATGCATATTCTTAATTTTATGTATATAAGTTTTGGATCATTGGACTACAGTCTTACCACAAAGGAACCCTAATACTATTTAATTACAAATTGTTTTTTTTCTTTAATATTTTTAGTTGTAGATGGACACAATACCTTTGTTTATTTATTTTTATGTGGTGCTGAGGATCAAACCCAGGGCCTCATGTGTGCTAGGCAAGCGCTCTACCACTGAGCCCCAACCCCAGCCCCTGTAAATTCTTATTCTTCCTTCTGCAGATTTAAACAGTTGAACAATATTTCATATCCAGTTACTAAGACAGGAAAATTAGACAATCTCAGGTGGGGGAGGGAGTACTCCTTCCCAATAATTTAACTGTTTTCTTTTAAGATTCATTGTGAAGGCTTTTTTGCTTGGGTATCTAGTTTTTCAATTAATTCCTAAGGTTGGAGTTGTAAAAGCAGCAAGAATGAAATTAACAGGGACTCTCAAATAAGAAAAAGGCTTGAGAGACAGTTTTGTTTAAAAGACATTTGTAAGTGCCTAGCTTTAATGTTTAAAAAAATGCTAAATCACAAAAAGGAAATACAGTAAAATTTAAATCCTCATAGTCCTTTACATAGTAACTGAACTTTAATAAGAAGATGCAGTGGTCCTAAGGGTAGAGAATCTTTGAATGCAAAGATAAATGGGTGTGGCTAACTGCAGACTAGATGGCAGGTTCCACAACAAATTAAAAAAAAAAAAAATGTATTCCCTTCCAACTTGAGTAATGAGCAGTTATTAAACTAGAAATTCCAAACTCCTGTGTGATTCACTAAAACATTACCTGTGGGAGGAGGAACTCTGCACAAATACAAATACTGCTTGGTAAGACCCAAGAATTGCTACTTGAAAACTGCAATAAAAACAAGGCTGTCTCCTATCGATGGTCCACATTTCTCCCTTGAATGTGTACTTCTAACTTAACCCCAAAAGATGTCTTTCCCTTGAGATATCCCTTCTCCCTTGAATGTGCATCTGCTTTCCTCTCTGAAAAGGAAAAAAAAAAATAGCAGAAGTATAACAAAAACAACTCATCTTCCTCTTAAACTCCTTCCCTAGTCTAATACTGTATAGTATGTTTATTATAATTTGAGTAAATAATTATCATTTATATCTCCCTAATTATCAGAACCATAATAAGCCAGAGCACCAAGCAGATGACTCAGGTACTTCAGTGGCAAAGCAATCGTTTTGGTTCTTCATCTCTAATTTCCCCCTACCCCTACAACATCCCAGATCAACATCTGGTTACCACCACCTAGTTACCTGGATGATTGCAGTGGCCTTCCAGAGTTTCTCTGAATGCACGCTTATTACTAATTCTCCATTCTTCCTCTAGCTTCATGAGTTCCCTTCTTAACAACCTTTCCCATGAGTCTTGCGAGGGGAGGGGGGAGATACAAATCTTCAATGTAGTTTACATGGGCAAGCCTGTTCCCATGCCACCTCTTGGCTACTATCATCCTGTTCCTAGATTCCAGCCACAATAGTCTTTATTGCTGGAACACACCAACTTTAATTCTGTCACCTCTGGGGGTTTACCTATATTGTTCCCCTGGATGACTTAACCCGTTTTTAGTTCTCAGCCTAAATGCCCTTTCTCTGAAAATACTCCCTCAATGTCAACCCCAGTTACTCATACGTTAAACTCTATTTGTATGAATTATTTACTGTCTGACAACACAGGGAAATTGTAAACTCCAGGGAGGGTAGAGACCCTAGCAAGTGCCCAGTACTTTGTAGGTGCTCAATGAGAATTCACTGACTTGAATAAATGAGAAAATTAATTCACTGGTAGCTTGGACTTAAAAGAGCTCTAAAGTGACTTCATTCATTCCAGCAGTGGCTTGTGGTTGACAGTCCACCTTACCAGAACAACAGAACACGGGAATTCAAAATATTGGGCAATATATATAGGATTGAACTATACCCAAAGTTGACCCTTCTACGCCATGCTTTTCTGAAAATGACTACTTACACACTATGCAGAGTTCTGGCCAGTTCTTTAGTTAAAACCACTTTAATAACCTCAAGCCTCTCCCGTGCAGTGATCAGACCTCTACTCAACATTTGGGTTCCTCAACCCTTCATCTCAGCATTTCTCCTGACATGTAATTCTGTTCTCAGTTGTAGAAAAGATAAATCCCTATTTTAATCCAAATTTGGAAGGACACCTGTAAGAGACTCATTAGTGCCAGGGTTCCTTGACTGCTGAGTGCAGCTTTCCAAATTTTACAGTAATAAATATCCTCTTATACACAACCTCCCTCCCAGCCAAAATTAGATCTGCTGGGCACAGTGGTACAAGCCTGTAGTCCCAGCTGTACAGGAGGCTAAGGCAGTAGGACAGCTTGAGCCCAGGTGTTCAAGGTTGGCCTGGGCAACAACAAAACCCAGACTGGATACAAATTTTTAAATATTAGCTCTGTTTTGGATTTATAATTCCACATTTTTATGCAGTAGAATAGAAAGACAGAAACAATACCCTGAGCCAAGTCTAGCATACCTCACATTCGTACATCCTAAAGAATTCCATTAATTAACAACAAGCTAATCCACCAAAGATGATGAGTGGCCCCAGAAAATAAAATTGATTTCGTAGCAAGGCTTGACAGCAGTGTAAGAAGCAGACAATTCTGTCCACTGGTGCTCCTTAGTAAGTTCCTACCAGATGAAATGTTTTGAATGTAACATAATAAAGGCAAGACCCTTCCGCGTCATTCCATCTTCCAAAGACCAAACCTTCATGCCAGTGGTTAAAAAAATCTTTATTTTACAAAATTAAAAACATAAATTATATTTACAAGCATCTTAAATACCAGCTTATAATACTTGACATTTTTTAATCATTTCAAATTGAGTTTTCCATAAGCTTTTAAAATGCAAGATTATTCATCCACTTCAGCGAATTACTGGTTTTTATTTCCACCATTCCAAAGAGGTTTTTGGTTTTTCAAAACTCCATTCTGTAGTCATTCGAAAAATCACAGTGTACTTTTTAAATGATTAGTTTAAAAAAAAAAAAAAGTCCTGAGCTTTCTATCCCCATTTGTGGGATATTACTCCAAGAGATCTCTCCAAACCAAGTTCCTTTACTGCCCTATTTATAAGTTACTGTAACTTTCTTAAAAGAGTCTCGTTCCTGGTACTCATTAATCCATCTAATTCCTGGAGTTTGCTGAAAGTTAAACAGGGAAAATGGAGAAGAGGTGGGAGAATACAGACAACCATCTGAAAGCACATTATTAAAAATACAATATGCATAAGACCCTAAAATCTGAACTTACTCATTTCCTTCAGGATCGTATTCATTATATGAAACTTAAAATGACCTCAGATGATGCCTGAGTGATACCAAATCTCAATGGCACAGTGGAACAGACTTCAAGGTACTTTAGTGGTCAACTTAATATCCATCCTGGAGTTGATCATGAATGAAGGGTAGACAGATGATGTAAAATTGTCTTCAAATTTCAGCAGTGGGCAATTCATTTCCATATAACAGTACATCAAGGACTACCAAAGTATGAGAAAAGTAAATGTCCTCAAGAAGGGTCAAAAAAGGAAAGGGAAAAACCTCAAAATGTATAACCCATTTCCCAAGAACACCATTTTGTACCATTTTCCCTGGAAGCGCTCAGCTCAGCTGAGAACCATAGCAAGAATCTTTCATTAGAGATCAGCAACAAATTTAAAATAAAAAGAATGACAACAGGTAAGAGTTATATACATTTTACTAGTTTGTTTCAGACCTGTCCTGGATATTTTAAAAGGTGTCAAATGAGCCCTGGATGCTGGTGGTAAGAGGCAACAGGAGAGGAGAGGCGTGGGGATGAGGAACAGGGAAGACTTGTTTACAAATTCAGAGCAAATTCCCCTCTTCTGGATCTAAAATAAAGACATCTTCTGTCTTCAGTAAAACAAGTCTTTCTGCTCGATGCAGATGGCAGGTACAGTTTGCTCAAAAGTGTTCTCTCTTGGGGAAGATGAGTACACAGTCAGCACAGGAAGCACCACTCTGGGATCGGGCCCACCCAGCAGAGCCTGCCACCATCACTGCTGCATGTTGTTGATAATCGCCAGGATGCTCATCTTCTCCTGGGCAGAGTCCACATCCTCATTCTGTTTCTGGGCCACTCCCGTGCCTAGGCCATAGAGCCGGCCACAGTACTTGGCATCATCAATACTGTCCTCAAAAAATAACTGCAGAGTAGGACAGAGAACTGCAGTGAGAATCAGTCCAGGAGTCACACCAGTCTAAACACTGCCACATCACCCCTCTCAGCTCTCTAAAAACCCTGAAAATCTAGCAAACTAGAAACTAATTTTAAAGGGCTCCACACCTTTCCTGTACATAGTCTTTTCATTCTTTCTCTAAACATAGACTGTCTCCTAAGCAAACTCAGACCTCCCAGGAATTTGCTTACCGCAGGATCCCTGTACTGTTTAGTACCCCTGCCCCTTCTCTTTCACAGGCGAGTCAGCAGTTAAGAATTTGGGCTCTGGACTCAGACTGACTCACCTTGTGACTCTGGCAATGTCATTTCAAGAATTTTTAAGCCATGGTTCTTATGTATAAAATGGGATAACAGAAATGTTACAAGGCATGAGTTATGGACATTGAGCACTTAAAGCAGGATATTTCAACAATGTCACTACAGGGCAAGATAATTCTTTATTTGGCAGTGTATCAGGATGTTTAGCAATGTTCCTGCCCAGCAACACACCATCCTCCCCCACCAAGTTATGGTGACCCAAAATGTCCCCAGACATTACTGGGATAAGCAAAATCATTCCCAGTTGAGAACCACCGACCCAAAACACTTCTGTTATGGTTTGGATCTTAAATGTTTTCCCCAAAGGCCATAATGAAGCTTGGTCACAAGCCTGTGGTACTACTGGAAGGTGGCAGAACATTTAGGAGGTGGGGCCTGGTGTGAGGAAGGAGGTCATTAGGGGTATGCCCTTAAGGGGCTATTTATTGGAACCCTGCCCCTTCCCTTCTCTCTACTTCCTAGCAGCCATGAAGTGAACAAATCTCTTCCACACATTCCCAGTCATGCTGGTCTGCCATTGGTCCAAAAACAATATTCAACCAACAATAAACTCAAACCTCTGAAAATATAAGCCAAAATAAACTTTTCATCCTTTTGATTGTCTTGGGTATTTTGTCACAGCAATCAAAAGCTAACAGAAAACTGGTGACTGTTCCCCACAATATGGCTCAGAAGTCTTTAGAACTGGTTTGCAGGAAGAAGTTGGAAAAGTGTGGAAAAGGGGGTGAGAGAAAGCCTGAATTGCTAGAGTGGAGATTAATGGGTAATTCTGGTAGGAGCCCAAATCAAAATGCTGATAGGAATGCAGACAGTAAAGGCTGTGCTAATGAGGTTTCAGAGAAATAGGACTCTTGGGAAATGGATTCAAGTCCATTTTTGTTACATTTCTGGCTAAGAAGTCTACATTTTGTTCATGCCCTGAAACTTCGTAGGAGGCTGAGTTTAAAAATGAAAGACAAGTTTATGTGGCAGAGGAAATTTCAAAAAAGCAGAGCATTCAGGCAACAGCATGGATACTGCTAGCTTCTTTTAGCCAGATTTATAGCGAAACTGGGAGCAAAAATCAGAGCAGAAAGATCTGGAAAACATGCAATTTGATCAGAAAAGAAGTCTATTTAAAGTTGGAGCAAAGAAATTAGTGCCATGAAAATCATTAAAAGGAAGCAAAGTACTTTATTCAAGGACAACAGGAAAGATGCCTTGAGGACACCTCAGGGATCATCAAGACCCCACCTAAGGCAGGCTCAAAGATTTAGGAAAAAACCCCACCACCACTATCCTTGGGTTCCCTGCTCACAGAGATATGTATAGAATTGTTTTTCTTGTTTTCTTTGTTCAGCTATCAAGGCACTAAGGCTGTTGCAGCTAGGATTCAAATGGACCCAGGAATAGCTCAGGCAGCCACAAACCGTGGCAGTCCATATGATGCTGACTTTGCGTGCAGAATGTCAAGAATTATGGGGTCCCAAAGGCTTCCACCAAGATTTCATAGGAAAGCCAGGGAACCAAGCAGTATATGTCAGGGTCAAATGCCTGTAAGCAGCCCCTGACAGGGTGACACATAAAGCTGTGATACATGACATAAATTCATGACAGTAAAGCCAAAGCTGCACTGGAGACCCCAGGAAGTTAGATGCCCAAAACAAAAAACATCTGCTCAAGGAAGCCACAAAATGTCTGGGCAAGGGAAGTACAACACAAGCAGAACCAGCCCAAAAGTGGCCACATGGTCTGTAGCCATGAAGGCAGAGCTGTCCAAGTCCTTTGGAATTCACATCATGCCACCGTGTACACAGGATGCTGGACAAAACTACAGGATTTAATGTTAGCCCTGCTTGTTTTCAGTCTTGCTTTGGCTCAATCCTTCCTTTCCTAGGCCCTGTTTCTCCCTTCTGGAATGGGAATGTTTACCCTACGCCATTTTATCTTGGAAATATGTAATTGAAAATTAGGGTTTTTTTTGTTTGTTTATTTTTTTTTACTGGAGCTAAAAGCTGTTTGCTTTAAGTCTCAGGAGAGTTTGAACACTGGAGGAATGCTGTAACTATAACAATCTGAAAATTCTTGGAGATGGACTCAATGTATTTTGCACTGTGAGATGGACATGAGCCTTTGGTGGTCAAAGGCAGAATGTTACAGATAAGATCTCCAATGTCCCCCAAAGGCCATGTGTTGAAGGCCTCCAGTATGTGGCATTACTGGGAGGTGGTGCACCTTTAGGAGGTAAGGTCTAGTGGAAGTAAGTTAGATCACTGAGGGGGCGCCCTTGAAGGGGTACTGGGACTCCAGCGCCTCCTTCTCCCTACTTCCCAGCCACCATGAGGTAAACAGGCCTCCTCCACCACCCACTCTCAAACATGATTTTGTGACTCACCACAGCCCCAAGACTACAAAGCCAATAACATCTGTGAGCCAAAACTGATTTCTGAAACTGTGAGCCAAAACTGACTTCTCCACCTTAAGTTGAATATCTCTGGCTCCTTTCTTTTCTACATTTTTAATATAGAAATTGGTTAAATAAATGATAAACGCCAATCCAGTTCTAGACAACAAACCTCTTATGCCAACAATTCATTAGGGTAGTGACTTCTTGAACTTTTATGGTTAAGAACCCCTCTGAGAATCAGACACAACACAGAGCCCAATTTAGGTATTTTATCACAGTGATGGAATGTGGACTAACACAATTTCCCAGAACATGGCTAACAGTGTGGTTTGTGACTAGGAATAACACAAGGAAACATATCAATTAATCTAATTCACTTCTCAAAGGTGTCAATAAAATCATTTTAATTTTTCAAAGCAGTTTTTCACTCTTCTATCTCTTCAAATACATTTTAAAACTTAGGATTAAGTAAGAAATCAAAGGAAATATTCAGTGTTCATTAATGAATTAGAGTAAACTCCATGTATTTAACAATTAACAGAATTCAGCAATACATAAATGAGTGGCCTAACAAATGTGTTTGTGTTCCTAAAATAAGAAAAATAAATAACTTAAAGAATTAGAGCAGCTAGGAACACCAAATATACTCTGGACTTGAGTATGCTCAAGAATACTTGAGTATTCTGAAGTGGTTCACTTCAGAATGCTTCTGCCTCTCAAACTACATTTGATTATGTACCATAATAAACAAAAACAACTGCTCTCAGAGTGGCCACTAACTTCCAGCAGAAACTATAAAGGTTTGACAAACTCAGCCCACAAAGATCACCAACCTCCTTATCCTTCAGCAAGTTAGTTGCCAATCCATTTCTAAATAGCAAATAGCTTCAGAGAGGTCCTCATAGTCAATGGAGTTTACCTCTTTCATCCTGAAGAATGCCATTCCCGTCAGTAGTGAGTCTGAGCCTGCCTGGTGCTGCCTTCCAATTCTCTGCAAATCCAACTGATCAGCAACTTCCTGAAGACCTCCCTGGAGATTTCCAGAGAACAGACAATATTATAGACCCAACACTACCCTACTGGATTCAACTAAGTCCACTTGTGAGTTCATTTTATTGTGGTGGCAAGAAGTGAGGCCATTTACTTAATATGCCTCCCAATCCTCTTTTTGGTGTTTAACTCTACTTCACTCCAACTGATACATTGTGTTACATTCTGTTTCTGACTCCTTTCTTTTCTACATTTTTAATATAGAAATGGGTTAAATAAATGATAAACACCAATCCAGTTCTAGATAGCAAATCTCTTATGCCAACAATTCATTAGGGTAGTGACTTCTTGAACTTTTAAGGTTAAGAACCCCTCTGAGAATCTGACACAACATAGAGCCCATCCCTAACACACTGAACATACACCTCATGTTACCAGATATTTCCCTGGTTTTGTGGGCCTCAGGTGAAGAACATTGCCTTAGAATGAGAGAAACAGAGAACTCCCTTCATGCCCAGGTCATCCCGCATGGACAACTGCCAAACAAAATCCTGTATCAGAGTTGGGACTGGGGCTCAGTGGTAGCCCACTTGCCTGGCATGTGTGAGGCACTGGGTTCAATTCTCAGCACCACATATAAATAAACAAAATAAAGGTCTATCAACAACTAAAAAAATAATAATAATAAATCCTACATCAATCAGTCCTATAAGAGGAGCTGAAGGGAAAGGGGGGGAAAAAAAGGGAGAGAAATGAAGTACAGTAGGGGTAGAGAGAGAAGATGGGAGGGGAGGGGAGGGGGGGGGGGATAGTAGAGGATAGCAAAGACAGCAGAATATAACAGACACTAGTATGTAAAAACGTGGATGTGTAACTGATGTGATTCTGTAATCTGTATATGGGGGAAAAATGGGAGTTCATAACCCACTTGATTCAAATGTATGAAATATGATATGTCAAGAGCTATGTAATGTTTTGAACAACTAATTAAAAAAAAAAAATCAGTCCTATATGACACCCTATCTAGCAGAATGCTGGCACCCAGCAGAAACTCAAGAATGATGCAGGGGCCAGGCTTGGTAGCGCATGCCTGTAATCCCAGCAGCTCAGGAGGCTGAGGCGCTAAGCAACTCAGTGAGCCCCTGTATCTAAATAAAATACAAAATAGGGCTGGGGATGTGGTTCAGTGGCCAAGTGCCCCTGAGTTCAATCCCCAATACCAAAAAAAAAAAAAAAAAAAAAAGAATGCATACAGAACACACAGGGATAAAGCAAAATGACAAGTCTGCTTTTCTGTTTTTCTCTTTGCTAATATTAAGAAAAATATTCTGTACCTTAAGATTTTTGCAACTCTTCATCAGGTATTTCACATCATAAATAGATGGAAAGAAAAGATTCAAAATATGAAAGAATTCATGTTCTTCTTCTGGCAAACGAGAATCTGTAAGCAACTTTACCATGTAGCCAAAATCATAGCCACTATAAGAGAGAATAAAGCAAGGAAATTAAAAAAAAAAAAAGCAGCAGTTACCAGATCCCAATGTTCAACCACTTTATTTCTTAAACTTTATAATGCTACTTCATGTTAGGAGCTTTCAATCTTCCAAATAGTATACTCCACTATAATGTGAACTTTCTACTAAGTAACATATAACAGGCTATCATGCAAGAAATACAAGAGAACCCAAGGATTTATAAATGTGGGTTTGATTCATCAAAAATTTAAGTGCCAGGTGCCGTGATGCATGCCTGTAATCCCAATGGCTTGGGAGGCTGAAGCAGGAGGATCACAAGTTCAAAGTCAGCCTCAGCAACTTAGCGAGGTCCTAAGCAACTTAGGGAGACCCACTCTCTAAATTAAAAAAAGGGCTGGGGATGTGGCTCAGTGGTTGAGGGCCTCTGGATTCAATCCCCAGTACCAAAAAAAAAAAAAAATCCAAAAGTACTGAAAAGACTAACAGGAATCTGCATTTTGAATAACTGGGAAACTCCAGAGTAAGTACAAAGACAACCAAGTGTGTAATCCTTTCCAACCTCCATCTTTCCACTTGGAAACACAGCCACTGATGGCCAAATGATGGGTCCAATACTATGTAACATAAACCAATATAATCACCAACATGTTCAAAGTGTTTTCTGAAAAACTGAAGCTTATAAGTAAGTACCATTTGAGTTTTGGTTTTTTGTTTTTGTTTTTTTTTTCTTCAGTACTAAGGTTTGAAGCCAGGGGTTCAATCACTGAACTACATCTCCAGCCATTTTTATTTTTTATTGTTGAGGCAGGGTCTAAGTTGCTCGGATTAGCCTTGAACTTTCAATCCTCCCGCCTCAGCCTCCAGAGTAGCTAGGATTACAGGAACGCACCACTGTGCCCAGTTATAATTTTCAACTTCTAACTGCTGCTGATGAATAGAACAGAGCCAACAGGACTCCAAAAATAACTAATAATTCAATTCTTGCTAAAGGGTAAGAAGAGAGAGATACTCATTCTCCAGAACTGACCTGTGAAATGAAAGCCATTTGACATTGTCACAGAGAACCACTCCTGATGTCATAAGCAGCTCTGCAAAGTGCAGCGTGTCAATCCCTTCCTCTTCATGCTTCTGAAACTGTAGTCCTGAGTTAGCAAGGAGGTCTATGGAATCCTGAGAGTACATGTCCTCTCTGAAAAACAAAGTGTTCTCTTAATTAGCTGGTGGATCACAAAACAAGTAGGAGGCAACTACAGTACCATCAACTTGTATTTATAGTACACATATTCTTGAAATACTTTTCATAATTTAAAAATAGAGATATAGCTGGAGATATAGCTCAATTGATAGAGTGCTTGCCTCACATGAACAAGGCCCTAGGTTCAATCCCCCAGCACCACCAAAAAAAAAAAAAAAAGATCTTTCATTTCATTAATTTCTTCCAGTATTTCAGCAAGCATACAAAGCAAAAAACCTTATTTCTGTGATAGATGGAAAAATGAGATTTTTGCCCCAGCTAAATGTCCTAATTACAAAAGATACAAATTTCCTGTGTGTAAAATATATATATATATATATATATATATATAGAGAGAGAGAGAGAGAGAGAGAGAGAGAGAAAGAGAGAGAGAGAGAGAGATAATTATATTATTAATGTTTATATAATGCTACCCTACAGAAATAACTATTTATTTTTATAGTACTATTTTCTCTACCTACACAAATATAACTGCATCCCTATATCTGTGTACCATAGATTACCTTTTGAAATCAATACTCAATAACATCCTTTTTAACTCTGGCATAATATTTCACTGTAAAGATATTCTCATCAATTTAAATAGAGTAATATTTATAATACCACAAAATACAAAAATAGGAAAATATATTAAGCTAAATAACTCCTTTTCCACTAGATTTCACAAATTTTTTTTTACATATTTATTTTTTAGTTGTAGTTGGACATAATACCCTTATTTTATTTACTTATTTTTATGTGGTGCTAAGGGGCCTTGCAGGTGCTAGGCAAGCGCTCTACCGCTGAGCCACAACCCCAACACCTAGATTTCACAATTTTGTTTCCAGATATAATTGCATGAAATAATCATAAAGAAAACCATTACAGGGCTAGGGTTATGGCTCAGTGGGAGAATACTTGCCTGGCAAGTGTGAGGCCCTGGGTTCAATCCTCAGTACCGCAAATAAATTAATTAATTAATAAAATATCCATTGATAACTAAAAAATATTTAAACAAAAAAAAAAAAAAAAACACTATGATCTGAAAGATTCAATCACTTCCTAAAATTATCTGAACCTCAAAGAGATTTCCAAAACACATGAATAACAGTCAAAAAATTATTCTTAAAAAACAGACAATGCTTCAAGGTTCCTCTATGTGCAGCATGAATCATAACTTCACTCCTTTTCATAAGGATCATGAGTTCAAAGCCAGCCTCAGCAAGAGCGAGGCGCTAAGCAACTCAGTGAAACCGTCTCTAATAAAACACAAAATAGGACTGGGGATGTGGCTCAGTGGTTGAGTGAGTTCAATCCTCAGTAACCCACAAAAAATAAAATAACATTATTTCACATGGACAAACCACATTTTATTTATCCATTCCCCAAATCATAGACATTCGGATCATTTCCTTTTTTGGGCTCTTCTGAATAATGTGCTATGAACTTATGTACAGTTTTTAAATAAGTAAAGCTTTCACTTCTCTTGTGCATAACCCCAGCAGTGGAACTGCTGGGTCACATGGCAACTCTTTAACTTTTTGAGAAACTGTCAAACTATTATCCAATATAGTTCAAAGAATTCTACCTTTCCCAATAGCAATGTATGAGGATTTCAATATATCCACACCTTCACCAACACTCAATTACATTATGCTAAATTCTGTTAATTATTAAATATTATTCTAAGTCATTATATCTTTTTTGACTATAGCCACTCCAGTAGATGTGAAGTAGTGGGAGGTTTTTTAATATTTATATTTTAGTTTTAGGTGGACACAATATATTTATTTTACATTTATGTGGTTCTGAGGATCGAACCCAGTGTCTCATGCATGCTAGGTGAACACTCTACCACTGAGCCACAACCCCAGGCCCAGTAGTGTGGTTTTGATTTGACTAATTATTGAGCATCTTTCTCACCAGCTGGCCATTTCTGTATCTTCTCTGGCAAAACCCCTATTCAGATTATTTGCCATTTCCTTTTTTTTTTTTTTTTTTGATACTGGGACTGAACCCAGGGGTGCTTAGCTACTGAGCCACATCCCCAGCCCTTTTCATTTTTTATTTTGAGACAGGGTTTCACTAAGTTGCTAGGGTACTGCTAATTTGTGATCCTTATGTCTCAGCCTCCTCAGTAGCTTGGCAAGCTCCACAATGACCAGCACCAATTTTTAATTGAGTTGTCTTTTTTTTTTTTGGTGCTGGAGATTACATCTAGGGTGCATGCTAGGAAAGTCTCTACCACTGATCTACACTCTCAACCCAAAGTTGTCTTTCATGTTAAGTTTTAAGAATTCTTTAAGTGGGTTTCTAAGATTCCCTATTCCATTCTCTGTTTGACTATATTCTGTTCAACATCTAGCTGGGTTCAGGAGAAACAAAACTTAAAATCAGTAGAAATCACAGTTTGCACTGATATAGCAGATCAATGAGTAACACTGAGAAGTGTCTCAGAAACTTACGTAAGATTGAATTTGAAATTGAACTGCCAAGTATTAATTCCAGAAGGATATTCTCCCTTCTCATTTGTGAATGTAAGGCCCAGCTGGATAATTTTTAAAAGGTCAACATTGCACCGCAGAAGCTGATACTGGTAATCTATGGAACTACGAAATTCACCAATTGGTCGGACCACAACACCGGGAAATTCTGTGTCCTAAAAAAGGAAAAAGTCTCTCATTAGGTTTCACAAATTGATAATTCAGAAATACAAATTTACATCAATAAAATTTTGCTTCAATATATAAAAGTTATGAGATAAACCCCACACTTGAGCACAAAAAAATCTATTTTAAAATAGTGATCTTTTTATATCTACTGAAGAAGCACTAGAATCATAAAGCTTTGCACAACTATTTAAAAATCCTGGGCTGGGGATGTGGCTCAAGCGGTAGCGCACTCGCCTGGCATGCGTGCGGCCCAGGTCCGATCCTCAGCACCACATACAAACAAAGATGTTGTGTCTGCCGAAAAACTAAAAAATAAATATTAAAAAAAAATTCTCTCTCTCTCTCTCTCTCTCTCTCTCTCTCCCCCCCACCCCCCTTTTTAAAAAAATAAATAAATAAAAAATAAAAAACATAAAAATCCTAAGTAGCTGGATGCAGTAGTCCATGCCTGAATCCCAGTTACTCCAGAGGCTGAGGCATAAGGATTACAAATCAAGGTCAGCCTTAGCAACTTAGTGACACTCTATCTCAAAATAAAAAACAAAAGGGCTAGAGATATAGCTCACTTGTAGAGCACCCCTGGGTTCAATTCCCAGTAGTACAAAATAAATAAATAGATAGATAGATAGATAGATAACCAACCAACCAAGGCAGGATGTAAGTAGAAGTAGTTGTTGGATAACTACAGAGAGTTAATTAAGAACATTCTTTAAAAAAAAAAAATTCTAGATTGATAGTTAACACATGAATTAAAATAAAAATACAGGGAAGTGACATAGCCTCTCAGAAAAAAATAATAACACCACATTTATTTTAAATAAAAAGAATGAACAGAAATCACAGAGTTCTGAATACTAGGCTAAAGACTTAACCATATTACCTTTAAAATAGGAGTCACAAACTCCAGGTAACTTACATAAAAGAATAAACCAAGCTAGCTATGAAAACAGTAAGGACTCGGCCAAGTGCGGTGGCGCACACCTGTAGTCCCAGCAGCTTGGGAGACCGAAGCAGGAGGATCCCCAAGTTCAAAGCCAGCCTCAGCAAAAGCAAAGCTCTAAGCAACTCAGTGAGACCCTGTCTCTAAATAAAATACAAAATAGGGCTGGGGATATGGCTCAGTGGTCGAGTGCCCGAGTTCAAACCTTAGTACCAAAAAAAAAAGAAAGAAACAGCAACACACCAGGGGCCCTGGAGTAAAATAGAGAGCACATGCCTCTCTACAAGAGGAATTGCCAAGATAGCCTGTCCTCTCCAGCCACTGGATGTTAGTTAGGCAGGAATATGTACCATCTATTTCCAAATCTTCTTTTTTTTTTCCAGAGATGCCAGAAATCTGGAATTTAAGTGAGGGCTCATGATTTTTAAATTCTAGAAACAAACCTTCAAAGACACTATAGTCAAATTCACCATATCACTGGAACAGATGCACCCTATGGACTGATACAACTTCTGCTTTAACTTTTCAAACAGTTATATTACAGAGTACACCTTCCTCAGAGACCCACTGGTCACTCTCATGTTTCATAAAAACAATACTAAACTCTATGAAGTTTAACTTACCAAGGCTTTACAGAAATATAATAATTTCTTCTCAAAATCTCACGTTAAACATTCTTGAGTCCACACAAGAAAGTGAATCAAATAGAATAGTGCTCCTTACCATTGCAATGTAACTGTAACTGAGCACAATTTCTCGGATCTTCCTCATCTCTTCTTCTAAATTGTTGGCCCAGACTTCGCAGATAACCTGGCTATTCTCCACAAGTGCTGCAGGCATCCTGAAGAAACCTGAGAAGTCACTTTTAGCTAACTATGTGAGAAAGTAATCCAATGTTTGATCTGATCTAGATTTAAAAACATATTTTGAAATCAAGTTAGTACAGTAGTATGTCAACAAAAACAAAAACACCAAAACAACATTTTGCCATAACTTCATTAGTTTAAGCTAAAAGGATAAAATAAGCATATTTATTTTCCATTTTATATGACAGGAAAGCTTGCCTTTGTCAAGATAGACAAACATGTACACAGGTACACACAAAATTTCTTTAACCTGAAGAAACTAAAGTTATTAAAGGACATATGCCCAAATTGTCCTTTAGCACAAAATTGAAAACACTACCTTAAACCAGTTTTTCAGCACTCTGCAGACTACTAAAGATAAACTATTCCCTTGGTCCACAAATATGCCCTTTTCCATGACTTTGACATCACTTTGCACAAAGAGCAAATCGTGGAAATATTTCTTAAGGAATCACTTTAGCCCTTTAAATGTACTTATAATATCTGAAAGCCTAAAATAACAAAGGGAGACCTAAACTCTCTCACTCAAGTGTCCACACTCCTGTCTTTACACTCCTGATGAATAAGAAGGACACGGGACTCCTCCTTTCATTCTCCAAAAAAGGAAATTATTTTTCCCCACAATCCAAGTCAAATACGACTGGAGACAATGAAATCTTTAAATTTATGCAACTACATTATGAAAGGTAGGCTGTAAACAGTAAAAATCAATTTGAAACCTTAAAAAAACCACAATGAAAATCAAAATTTAAGTTACTAATGTCTAGTTTTAAATACATAATATTGTTAAAAAAAACTAAATAGCAATTCAACAGTAAGAAGAGAGGATGGCAGGTATACATAAATTATGGTATGCCTCCAGGATGAAACTAGGGAAGAGAAACATTCTAAAGACAAAATTAAATATCATGTAGCCTCAGGGTAATGCTATTATTACAACAAATGCCACATGAGAGGGTTCAGTGATAGAGCTCATGTTTAACATGTTCAAGGTCCTGGATCAATCCCAGCACCACAAAAAAACTCAAAAAGCATACTATGGCCAGGTACAGTGGACCACACCTGTAACCCCAGCTACTCAGAAGGCTGAGGCCAGAGGATCACTAGTTTGAGATTAACAGACAGGAAACATACAGACATGAATAGCAGGAACATGGGGTTAAAGGAATAATTCTGTAAAATGACCCCTATGTGCTTTCTTTTCCAAAAAGCAATTTATCCATAGACCCATCTGGCTAAACTGGACAGAATATATCACATTCCTCAGCAAACTACCTGTTATCTACAGGAGAAATGAAGGCCCAAAATAATGTCAATAAGAAGAACTCAAATTACTTTGAAGATGGGGGAGGGACTTTTGTGACCCTTTCACAGACAAGACTCCAGAATTCAGGAAAATAAGGATAATATTCCCTAACCATAAAATCTGTAAGAACAGGTTCCGATTAGAACTGGTCAGCATGGGTCAAAGTGGCCTACAGTGGTCATGGCAGTAGAAACTTAAAAGTATGATGTCATTTCGCTGTCAGTCAAAAGAGAGTCCTAGGCAGGACTCTCTGGAAACTTCTCTGAGATCTCAATAAATGTGGAAAGCTGTTGTCTGAAAGGAAGCACTCTCTCCCTTGAGAGTATCCCCATTCTCTTTTTCTATCCCTACAATAAATTTATGCCTGTTACTCTGACCCGTCTGAAATCTTTCTGACTTGATCACAAGAACCAGGATTTGAAAGAAGGCCTTCTTGCTGCCTCAGTATCCCAGAAGGCCCCAGTCCTATAACAACATTCCGAGCAACATTCAAGGTCTCATCTTAAGGAAGAAAAAAAGAAAAAAGACTAAGTAAGAAGCTTATTCTAAGGGCCTTTGCTTTTTTTTAATACATATATTTTATTAGTTGTTGATAGACCTTTATTTTATTCATTTATTTATTTATTTATTTATTTATTTATATGAGTGCTGAAAATCAAACCCATTGCCTCACACATGCCAGTCAAGTGCGCTACCGCTGAGCCTGAGCCTGAGCCCCAGCCCCTTTACTTTTAAGGCAAGCCCATCACATGAATCCAAGAACACAATATAATAATGGGTTCTAGTGTATATATTCAGGGCAATTTCCTAGAAACAGCAAAATGAATGTGAATGGTTTCCAAAGGACAGAGCAAGAAAAATCTTTGCTCTCTTCTATAAGATTGACAGATGGAACTATGAGAATCTGGAACAAAACAAAATGGCACTGTCAAACATCAAGAAACCAATCTACTGCTTTGTCAACCATCCTTTAAGAACATTTATTCAAGGTGTCCTACACTTATACACGTTTTTCCAAAATTACACTTATTAAATGTAAGTAGACTATATGATATCTCCCCAACAAATATAGAGAGAAACTTCTTAGATGAGAATCCATTTATTCTTGTTTTTGTTTTATTAAAAGCTAATAAATTGGGGCTGGGGATGTGGCTCAAGCAGTAGCGCGCTCGCCTAGCATGTGTGCAGCCCGGGTTCGATCCTCAGCACCACATACAAACAAATGTTGTGTCCGCCAAAATAAATAAATAAATAAATAAAATAAAATTCTCTCTCTATCTCTCTCTCTAAAAAAAAAAAAAAAAGCTAATAAATTAACTGATAAAGACAAAAAGAAAGAAGTTAAACTGAATGTGGAGGAATTCCACTATCTGACCATAATTAAGAACATGCTCAGAATTTTAGATTTCTAACCATGCTTATGATTTTTCCCTGCAAAAGGAGTTAAAACCATTTTCCATCTCCATTTAATGTTCAATCAGTACCACTTCCTATTTCCCTCACTGAAAAGTATACTTCCTTTCTGGTGTCATTTCAAAGACAACTTATTTAGGGGAAGTGAGTATCAGTATAGGGTTTGTTTAGTTTTTGTTTTTGTTTTTTTTCCAGTCTGGAGTTTTTGAGAGATGTTTCCACCCAAGCAAAAAGCAAAAGCAACAAAAGAGAAAGAGGCCAAAAAATTTTAAAAAACAGAAAAAGAATAAAATTTGGCCTTCATTTTACCAATTTGTTATTAAAACGCTATGCTAACCACTGTAAAAAAAAAATGCCATGGGCTGGGGATGTGGCTCAAGCGGTAGCGCACTCGCCTGGTATGCGTGCGGCCCAGGTTCGATCCTCAGCACCACATACAAACAAAGATGTTGTGTCCACCAAAAACTAAAAAATAAATATTAAAATTTAAAAAAAAAAAAAAAAAAAAAAAAAATGCCATTGTTATACATATCTGACAAATGGGGACTACACAAGAGAACACTGGCAAAAAGAAGACAAGAGGATCAAAAGGATCAAAAGGATCACAAATTTGAGACCAGCCTCAGCAACTTAGCAACCTAGGGAGACAGGAGACCCTATCTCAAAATAAAAAATAAGGACTGGGGATGTAGCTCAATGGTAAAATGCCCCTGGGAAATCCCCAATACCCTCCCCCCAAATCGAATCTATAAGACACTCTTGCATCAAATCTTTAGCTAGAAAATCTGTGGGGAAATAAATGATAGCTTGCAAGTCCCTAATGTACCACTAAAAAACAAGACAAGTCACTCAATGGACATTTAACTTAGCAAGTCAAATTACTGAATGTAATGTAATGTAAAAAGGTGAAAGAAAGAGCAACTGAATACCAGCAACTGGCCTGCCACTTTCCACTCAGTGAACAACTGCTCCAAAATGAGTCTGAGATAGGAACCACAAACATGCTGTTTTGGGGGGGTTATCTTCCTTCTTTTAAGCGTCTCAATGCCAGCATTTCACAGGCAGAATGACTCCATGCCTTTCAAATATTTGCAGAGCACAACCCCTTAAAGATAACCTAAATACTTTTCTGGGTTACAACCAAAGAAACAGTAACAAGTTTCAAAACAGAAGAAAAAATCTGACAGCGCTGGATGTACTCAGAAATAAAATGGTAATTACAAACTTTGCACTTTCCTAAGGAATTTCTAAAGAAAATGATTTTGATCACTAAGCAATGTTTACTTTACAAGCTGACATCAAAACCTGACTCCCACGTGAGCTACATATGAAACTTAAAAAAAAATATATGTTCATAAACAGATACAAACATGCACACACAAAATCAATCACCAAGATCCCTGCCTTGTGCTGACCCGCACAGTCATCTGTTCAGGTCGCTCCTGATGAACTGTAATGTAAACTCCTAAACACGAGTTTCTTGCTCATCCAGGAAACCTTTGAAGAGCAACTAATGATAAAGCCAGCGACCAGTTTCCCCTGCAAGCAGTCCAGAGTACGAGGCTTGCTTGGGAAAAGGACATTTATACTCTCTTTGTTTTTTTCTGGGTTTTAGCCTATGTGCAAGGAAAAAAAATAAACATCACTTCGCTAGATTGAACCTCCCCAGAGAGCACTGAACAAAGGCTTTGCCGTGCGTAGACAGATGAAAAAGGAAGTGGTAGATGCACGGTACAAAAAGCGGCACCAAGGGCCGCCGCTGACCTCCGTCTCCTCAATGCATCTCCGAAGAAAACAGTGTCCGAAGACCCAGCCCTGAAAACCGCAGTTCAGTTCTTAAAACGGCCGAGGGCTCCAAATCTGTGCACTGGCTCCTCCAAAATGGCTCTGATTCACAAAGTCAAAGAACAGCAAAGAAAAGTGAGGCCGCAAGAACTAAAGAGGAGGGGCAGCGAGTTAGAAGGGGGAGGCCCGCAAAGTTCCAAACTCGGGTCAGCTCCCCTACTCCCGCCGTCATTCTCTTCCAGTTCAGGGTCACCCTTCCACTTCGAACCATACTCTCCCACTCACCCCGCCCTGCCCACCGAGATTCTAGCACCTCATTCCTTTTTGTCTCCCTTGGTAAGGCAAAGATTTAAACATTACAGGCCTTAGGGCCAGACAAGCCCAAATTCAAAGCCTGACCATGTACTAAAGGTGTGGCCCGGAATAAACTACTTAACCTCTTACACCTCAGTTTTCCCATCTTGTACAATGGGTCTGAAAGCAGCACGCAGCTAGGAAGACTGCATTAGTGGCTACGTAGAATGAAGGATATAAGGGTACTCCGCAAAGTTCTGACATATATCACTAGGACACTACTGTTGTGCTGGCTATTACTACTACTATTCGACGGGCTTTTGCCCCTTCTTAGGAACCTTGCCCCACACACACGCCCCCACTCTCCTCCCACCCACAAGGCCCCTGACCTCCCACACTACTTCATCTTTACGGTCATCCGCCCAGTAAGGGGTTCCGACTTACCCTGTCAGTGCCCGCTAAGCGCGGGCTGGCGGGCGGGCGGGCTGGCGGGCGGGCGGGCTGGCGGGCGGGCGGGCGGCAAACCCCAGCAGCAGTAGCGGCAGCCCCAGCGGCAGCAAGCCCTAACCCTGCGCTCTCCTCCCTCTGCCCCGGATCTGTTCCTAGAACCGAGCGGGCCAGTGAGATAGGCGCACTCGTTCCCAGAGCGGCCTTACGTACCGCCCAACCAACAACCTGGTTGTGTCACTCTATCCGCCCGATCCTCCCGACTCGCCTGCTCTCTTGCGTCACTCCAGGAGCGCGCGCGCTAGGGATCACGCCGGCTCCTCCCTTTTTGCGCGCCCCAGTGATTCCGTGCATGTTCTTTCAGCTCGTGAACTAGCGGGTAGAACTGCGCAGGCGCTGGAACAGCCGCGAGCCGTGAAAAAGGTGGGGTGGAAGACGCATGCGGAGGACGGCCGGCTCTAGTCCGCGCGATTAGCGGCCCAGGATCTTCGATTCCTACTCTATTTAGCTTGTCCCTCCGCGCGCCCAAAGAAGAGGCGTGGCCTACAACTAGTCCCCACGAGTGGGCGTGGCCTAGGGAGACCTAAGGCCTAGTGACGGGTGTGTCCCCTCTGACTACATCCCCCAGGTTACAACGCCCCCTCCTCCCTGCTTTAAAGTACCTTTAAAATCCTTGGCAGGAGGGGACTTAGGGAAGTTTGCGGGTGTAGCCCGGTCGCGCCCTCTGTATTAACGCAGCCCCCAGGCCCCTCACAAAACCTCTACCTCACGGATTCTTTCTGGCAAACGGTTGGGGGTGGGGCGGCACTCCCAAACCGAGTCTGGGCGACTGCCAAGGCCCACCTCCTGCGAGGAGGGTTCCCATAGCAACCGGCTCGCCCCGGCCCGCCGGAGCACAAAGACGACTACGCCTTCGGGAGCAGGCATCGCCCGGGTTTCCGAGGCGCCCCGAAGTGGGCGCGACGCTGAGCAGACGCACTGAGCTTGGTCGCTAGAGCTGCGGGGCCCAAGCGGACCTAGGAGGTCTCACCCTCGACCCTTTTTCAGTCCTGGCTGGAGAAAGGTCTTTTTGCCAGCCCTGCCCTTGGGAGCGTTTAGCCAGGCTGGGTCGCACCACTGCGTGGAGCTTGGTGCAAAAGAAGACAAAGCACCGACTCGGCGCACGCAGCTGTCTACTGCCGACCGCCCTCACAGTCGCTCTTGCAAGACCCCGCCCCTGTCCGCGAGAGGGGGCGGGGCGACACACACACACACACACACACACACACGTCTAGTCTTAGTCCCAGGTGCCTCAAAAGGGACGTTGGTGTGCATGCAGCAACTGTACCCCTAGTGCCTGCCTCCCGCTCACTCCTGCACGTTGCACAGTTCTCCCTGGTTTGATTCTCCAAAATCCTAATTCTTTTGCCCATGCTGGATGCTAGCTTGGCCTTAAGCAGCAAATGGCTTCCCAAAAGCTATTCTCTGGGGAAATCCAGCCTCCTGGATAAAGATCGTCACAAGCATCACAAGATCACATGTTCTTGCTTTTCGTTCTTTCTTAATTTTTGTTTGTTTTTTGTTTTGTCTTTTGCCGGAGATTGAACCCAGGGGTATTTTAACCACTGAGCCACATCCTCAGCCCCTTTCTATTTTTTATTTTGAGACAGGCTCCCTAAGTTGCTGGGGGCCCTTGCTAAATTGCTGAGGCTGGCTTTGAACTTGGGATCCTTCTGCTCAGCCTCCGAAGATATTGGGATTACAGGCATCTGCCACCACTCCAGGTGTCACATGCAATTTCTGAACTCAACTCCTTCCCTCCAAATGAGTGTCATGTCCCCTTAACTATAAAATAGGGACAAGAATGACTCTGTCCCAAAGTTGTGGTGAAGATTAATAAATGGAGGAGACACCCTGCACAAAGGAAGAAAAATAAATAATGGTATCTGGCCTGTCTCAGTTTGTTCTCTGAAACAAACAATGTTCATTAGCTCAGCTGCAAGGCACAGTCATTCTGTTGAGGCATGTTAGGATGGAGAAGGCAAATAAGACAACTGCCCACTGTCAGTTCTATGGGTTTCTAATGTCCTTTTCACCCACTTGTAATTAGATTCGGTAAAGAGTAGCCCTATCAGGAGGGGCAGTCCTAGGCCTGATATGCACTCAAACAGTCAAAACAGGAAACACCATCTCCATCCCCTCCACCACCCCTCTCCTAGAACTGGGTGTTCCTTTTTCATTATAGGAGAAAAATATAAACCAAACCTAGATGGATTATATTTCAGGAGGCATTGTAGTATTACATTATAGACAATGGTTTTTATACTATACTCATGCTATGGCAAAATTAGAACATTTGTGGCTGAATAGCTAATAAAAATAAATAAATTTTTTAAATTATCCAAAAAAAAAAGAACATTTGTGGAAATCAGTGATTCTTAATGGAAGAAAGGCCCCAAACCACTGAGAGAGTAGTTGGAAATGAATTAAGTAACTTCATACGTGGGGGGGAAAAAAAGTATTGTTTTTGAACTACAAACTACATAGTAAGGTATGACAATAATAAATGCTGGAGAGGTTGTGGAAAAAAGGAACACTTTTGGGCTAGGGTTGTGGCTCACAGAGAGCTTACCTAGCAGGCATGAGACACTGGGTTAGATCCTCAGCACCACATAAAAAAAATAAAATAAAGGTATTATGTCCACATATAACTAAAAAATAAATTTTTTTAAAGGGAGCACTTTTACGCTGTTGGAAGGATTGTAAATTAGTACAACCACTATGGAAATAAGTATGGAAGTTCCTCAAAAGACTAGGCATGGAACCACCATATGACTCAGCTATAATACCTCTCTGTATTTTTCTGAAGAATTAAAGTCATACATGCATACCACATTCATAACGGCATAATTCACAATATGGAACCAGCCTAGGTGTCCATCAACAGATAGATAAAGAAATTGTAGTATACATATTGAGCCATAAATAAAAGTGAAATTGGGCTGGGGTTGTAGCTCAGTGGTAGAGCTCTTGCCTAGCATGTATGAGGACCTGGGTTCAATTCTGAGTACCACATGTAAATAAATAAAGTAAAGATCAAGTGACAACTAAAAAAAAAATTTTTTTTTAAAGTGAAATTGCTGGATTCAGGCCTGGGGATGTGGCTCAAGCGGTAGCGCGCTCGCCTGGCATGTGTGCGGCCCGGGTTCAATCCTCAGCACCACATACAAACAAAGATGTTGTGTCCGCCGATAACTAAAAATAAATATTAAAAAAAAAAAAATTCTCTCTCTCTCTCTCTCTCTCTCTCTCTCTCTCTCTCTGTCTCTCTCTCTTTAAAAAAAGAAAAGAAAAGAAAAGAAGAAAAGAAATTTCTGGACTCAGTGGCACACATCTGTAATCCCAGCAGCTTGGGAGCCTGAGACAGAAGGATCACAAGTTCAAAGCCAGCCTTGGCAACAGTGAGGAACTAAACATGCTATACGTGCACTTTACCACTGAGCCAAACTCAGTGAGACTCTGTCTCTAAATAAAATACAAAATAGGGCTGGGGATGTGGCTCAGTGGTCGAGTGCCCCTGAGTTTATTCCTGGTACAATAAATAAATAAAAGGTATTGTGTCTCTCTACAACTAAAATATTTTTTTTTAAATGGGTCTTCTCAAAAACCAGTCATGGGCTGGGGTTGTAGCTCAGTGGTAAAGTGCTTGCCTAGCATGCGTGAGGCATAAATTAAAGGTTAATTGAGGGGCTGAGGCTATGGCTCAATGGTAGAGCACTTGCCTAGCATGTGTGAGGCACTGGGTTTGATTCTCAGCACCACATATAAATAAATGAATAAAAATAAAGATCCATGCATCTAAAAAAATATATTTAAAAAGAAAAAAAGGTTAATTGACATCTAAAAAAAATTTTTTAAATAACCAGTCAGGTGATATTCTTGGTCAGCCAAGCCTTCTTATTATTCCCAATTCTAAATAAACCTAGCAGGATGAATTTCTTTTTTTATATATATATATATATATATATATATATATATACATATACATATATATATATATATATGTTTAGTTATTGATGGGCCTTTATTTCATTTTATTTATTTATTTATATGAGATGCTAAGAATCAAACCCAGTGCCTCATATGCTAGGAAAGCGCTCTACCACTGAGCTATAACCCCAGCCCGTGATGCACTTCTCAAAAGTACAATATATAGGAAGATAAATATAAATATAGGAAATTACATATGTTTGTGTGTATAAGTACAGGAAAATAAATATTTAAAACATTTATTTGAGTTTGAAATATTTTGAAAATGGGGCAGAAGGTAAATGATTTCAGGTTAATAACAAAAAGAAGTCATACTCTGTGCCCACATTTCA